TGTTGCATTATACAAGTTACCAAAAGAATATTACAATATGATGATTTAAAATGTTTGATAATAAACGCCTTAGCGTTCCTTCTTCAGAAGCTGGTAGTTACCCGTATTACCGATTCCTTGAGAAATACAACTGGTTTTGAAAAAGTGTCAATAATAAAGTTGGTGAGTTCATAAGTGTTTTTGTACTGGAAAAGTGTGTCATTTTGGAAGAAAGTATATGAACGTAGTTTCCAGAAAATCCAATATTTTCCACATATAGTTTGAAAAGTTTCCAAAGTTGGAAGGCGTTAGTATCTTTCGTACTTTAATGATAAAGATAAATTTTGTGCTCAAAATAATGTAATACTGAATGCATTTATGAATATCGTAAATCAAGCTTGTTTTTATACTTTCGTGTGAGTTTTATAACCATACTATTGACACTGACTGCCTGTAACAACATTCTTCAGGTGTTGTAGTTCTATGACATTTGTCACCCAGACCTGCCGGTCTAACTGTACCTAACAGTTTAGGTGTCGGGTTGTCAATCCCATATAGATCCATAGACAAGTATCATGCTCTCCCTCCAAGAGATTGTGATTTATAATACAGGACTTCAAATGCCTACTAGAGAGTATGTTGAAGTTGAATATCTCACATCACTTAGTATAAATAGATTTACGATAAGAAAGTCTTTGTTTCACTTTTAGGTGAAAGTATTTTATTTTTCAAGATGTATACGTAAGAATGTATAAATAACGTGCAAACTATACCCATTATAGTTTTTCAGAAGGTATGTTCCATTTGGTGAAAATAACTTGGTAAAATAATAAACTTTATACGTAAAGCAAGATGTTGGTATCGAATAATAATAGGATAGATGTTGTATTTATATTTATATAAAATGATACGTTTTCTAGTATTGTACTTGTATCCCCCCCTAAAACATGAAAAGACTTAAAAAGTAGGGGTATGAACTCACCTGTTTGGTTTGGAGACAGTGGGACTAGAGTCGACCAGAACTTCAATTGCGGAAAGTTGCGTCTTCGAGCTTCTCGGGGATCTCGGTAGCGTAGAACCTTCTTCAGGGGCTCGGGTGTGGGACCAAGGGCGTCGGGATGGCCTCTGGGGCTTACAAGTGTGTGAGAGTGAGTGAGAGTTTGAGAAAAGTGTCCAAAATCCGGAGTTCATGCTTTCTATTTATAGGGTTGAAGGCGCGAGTACGCTGGGCGTACGCGTTACGCTGGGCGTACTTCGGTTATGCTAGGCGTAACTTTGCATCATGGCTTACGACTCGGGTCTAGCTAGGCGTAGAGCTTGCAACCGATGGGACTCGACCCTGCACCTGAGTACGCTGGGCGTACTCTTGAATACGCTGGGCGTAATCCCAACTTCAATCTTCTAAATTCCGTAACTTTTGCGTACGGGCTCCATTTTTCGTGTTCTTTATATCCACGCATAGGTGAGACTATGCTCTACAACTTTCATTTAGACTCCGTCGGCTAGTTTTGACTTTAATTTTAATACTATGTTTTTAATAGGCTGGGACTGCTAAAGTCTGTTAAAAATTCATAGTTTCTTTATTCGACGTCTGTTTTCGCTTGTCTTTTTATCATCTTACTCTTGTTGTGGAGACCTTCAACTCTCGTTTAGGTTGCATTAGCTAAATGTCGTTTAATCTTCAATTCGAGTTTTTAGCTCTCTACTACTATTACGAAACTTAGAAAATTCGTAACTTCTTCATACGAGGTCCGATTTGGGCGATCTTTTTATGCACGTTCGCCGTTTAACGTAATCTACGACTTTCGTTTAGATACTTAAGGCTAAAATGCATTTTATTGAAATTCTCTTTTTACGTTTAATAATGTCTTACCGGGTGTGTCGTGAATATTTTGAGTAGTCGAAATCTTTTCATTATAACTCGGTTTTTAATGTTCTTTATGTTTTTGGAAACCTTGGCACGATATCTATCATTTGATGCATCCAAAATTTTGATTTTGAACATTCCATTTTTGAGGTTAATTCCATTGATTCCAAATAGTTTCGTTGTATTAGACTTTTGAGTGATACATTGCTTTTGGAAAAATATAGGGTTGTCACAGGAAAGGGACTCGGTGAGTTAAACTCAGAGTTAGTAAAGAAGGTTCTCGGCGAGTCTGCGCCCTGACTCGGCGAGTCCAGTCAACTGGGAGTTGACTTTGACCAGGGAGTTGACTTTGATTTGGGGTAAAATAGTCATTTTACCCTGAGAGCATTTACAAGTAACTGATCTAGTGTTTTTGGGATTTGTAGCAGGACAGTTCCGGAGCAGTAGTCAGCCACTTTTAGAGTTAGCATCCCAACAGCCAGCACTACGAGGTGAGTTTCCTTCAAGTAGGAATGGGTCTACGGCCACAATGCCGGCCTGTTTAGTTAGCAGTAGTTCCGGACCTCAGTCCGATGCAGTAGTTAGATTTCTTGATGTCTTTGTGATTCAAACATGTCCTTGTGTTATGTATTCTGGACTTCGGTCTGATGCAGTATGTAGTATACGTGTTTATGCTAGTTGGTATGTGTTTATACTATGCTATGTTCAGTCAGTTCTGGACTTTGGTCCGATGCCGGGGACAAGGTCCTTGTTAGTTCCGAACTCCGGTCCGATGCAGTTAGTTCTGGACTTCGGTTCGATGCAGGGGACAAGGTCCCAGTTAGTTCCGGACTTCGGTCCGTTGCAGTTTTCAGGCTTCGGTCCGATGCAGAGGGCAAGGCCCTGGTTAGTTTCCGGACTTCAGTCCGATGCAGTGGGCAAGGCCCAGTATGTGCTTTATATGTTATTGTATGGTATGTGGTAGTTTAGGGGAGCTCACTAAGCTTTGTGCTTACAGTTTTAGTTTTGGTTTTAGGTACTTCCGCAAGCAATGGGAATAGCTCGGGATGATGGTTGATATCTTTAGTATTATTTATACAAAAATTTTTGGGTCGTATTTTGGGTCGTTACAATTACTACCTTGCAACACTTAATGCAATAATTGTGCTCCCACTAGCATAATAATTACATTCCAACTAGCATACCACTTATGCTCCCACTAGCTTTGACACATACTTAGAAATCAGCTGGACTAAAAGAACGGTACAACTATTGAGCCTAGTACTCAGTATACATGTTCATTGGGCCTTTGTGATCCACTTGCATGTTCAGTGGGTCCAATATAACCATTTCATGTCTATTGGGCCTTAGTGATCCAATTATACGCTTAGTTGGCCTAAATTAGCCTTTACATGTTATTCGGCCTTTGTGACCCATTTACATGCTAATTTAGCTTGGAATAAATCATCATATGCTTAATGGGCTTTAACGTGTCCATTTGCATACTTAACAAGCCTGGAAATGACTTACATGTCTAATTGGCCATAGTTGTCTTTTTTTTCATGTCTATTGGACCTTAGTGATCCAATTACATGCTTAATGGGCCTAAATTAGCTTTTATATTATTGGGCCTTAGTGGCCCATTTACATGCTAATTTAGCCTGGAATAATTCATCATATGCTTAATAGGCTTTAACGTGTCCATTTGCATACTTAACAAGCCTGGAAATAACTTACATGTCTAATGGGTCAGAGTTGTCTTTTTTTTTCATGTTTGTTGGTCCTTATCCTTTCACATTCATGTATCATCTGGTGTACGAAATTCTAAATATATATAACGTTATACATATTCATGTGGCAATAATTGGGATCTAGTGAGACTTGCCGGTTGACACCATAGAGTGTATAGCCGTAGCCTGTAGTTATAATCAGAGTCTCCTGGAGGGAGAGCGAGAGTTTGTGTATAGATCTATACGGGGGTGACTCCCCCACACCTGAGTTGTTCACTACAGTTAGACTAGGTCAGTCTAGGGTGACAAAACCTTGATCGGAACCGGCATTTGGAAAAATGCCAAGACAGGCAAATTAGTCACTATCATGCATGGTTATAACGACTCACATAGAGATCCATTACCATCAATAAATTACGGGAATCAAAGTGCTTAAAACATAATAATACAAAACAATTCATGCGATAATGCAAGGACTACAACACTTTTATAAATCAGAAAATATTGGAATTTCTTGGGGAAATACTATTATTTATTACATTTTACTTACAACAGATATAATATTAGGAAACTTTGGATCGTTTACTCATACATTTTTTTTTTTTTTACAAATGGAAATCACACATACATTTATACTTGATCATTACATCATTTTCAGAGAATTTATAGAAAATATCAGATTTTCTAGGTTTCACGAACAACACAAATTCTTTCAATCAAACATGCTTATGAACTCACCAACATTATATATGTTTACCATTTTCAAAATAACTTGTATTCTCAAGTAATCAATAAGTTGAAGAATCATCAAGAGTATTTTGGAATTTCTTTTATGCAAATGTCAATCATCGTACAATTTATGTTTTGGAATATGTAATGTAAAACAATGTACTTGATGTGAGCAATACCAGTTGTATTATGTAATGTTTGGTGATGATTGTGTTATGTTTCATGTATATTCATTGTGATGTTATTTCAATTTATAGTCACACGAGCCCTCAGACGTTTCCGCCGTCTGGTTCGAGGGTGTGACAGGTTGGTATCAGAGCATTGTTTATAGTGAACAGGCATGTCAAACCATACATGATATGCAACTATAAATACAATGGGACTAAAGCACTCTGAATAAATGCATACCTAAGTAAAAATTAAAACAATAACACTAAAAGCCTTTGGAGGAAATTGAACACTATGATTAAACCCGAACAATTATGTAGTCATATTGGGGATAAATATAGTCTAATCAACTATATTTATTCAAAATATGACCAACATGTATTTGGGAGTAATCATAGCGGGAAATGAATCTAGAAGCTTACCGCATCTCCAATAACTCTAGGAACCCAAACTTAAATGATTAAAATAAACCATAGGAGCATTTTAAAAAAAATTATATACACACTCCCTTTAAACACTACTCACCCCCAACTTCTCACACAGCTGCCATGGAGGGAGCACATCAGGGCATTCTTTTCTACCAGAACGTAGTACCCCACAGAGTAGTTGACGAAGACCCCGTGGTGGAGGCAGCTGCCGGTGTCAGACCTGAAGAACACGTGGATACGGACTATGGGTTTGAGGAACCTGATGAGATTATAGAGGAGGATGGAGATGTGAATGAGGCACCTGGTGAACCCCACCCCTCGGAAGTCCTATCAAATCCACCCATGATTCCGGAGACTGATATCGACTATATACGCTCCCTTGAGGAAGAAATAACCAATCTCAAGCGGCATCTCTTTGCGGCCGAAGCTAGAGCCGTTCAGGCCGAGCAAAGGGAAGATGTAATCACTCAAGAGGTGAACAAAATGGCCGAACTTCTGATACGTCAACTCGATGATTAAGCGCCGTCGTCACCACTACTGGTAGGATTTTGTTCCTCTGTTCACTATTATAAGTACTACTGTATGTAGGACCAGTCGTATCTCTTGCTAGTATTATGTATCTTTTTTATGTCTTACTTTATGTACTATCGACCTTATGTTTAATGATTACACTATTCATATGGTCGTCATGCTGTTAGGTTTTTCGCTTTTTCCTATGTATTGTATACCTTTAAGACAAAATTTTCATGTACTAAAACGGATATTATTAATAGAAATATTACGTGTTTTATCGTGGTATTGTTATCTGCTATGTGACTTATTTATGTGTTTCATGATAAATTATGAAGTTAGTTACATATACAAATTGATCACCAAGATAGTAGTGTTGGGTTTTAGCCATAAGAACTTTCCTATGTGCGCATGCAAAACCCTATTGCTTGGATCTAGGCTTTCTAATAAACATGCTTTTGAATCCAATACTTCTAATGGCTAATTAGGTTAAACAACAATATTAAAACAGATCTAGAATCATACCTTTGAATTCCTTGTTGATCTTGTTTGTCTTGGAGCTTCTAGAGTCACAATTATCACTCCTCTAATGGCTTACAAACACCAATAGCAAGCAAGATGATTTAAGAGAGAGGAGAGGGGATGAATTCGGCCAGAGTATCCTTGCTTAAGGTTGTGTGTCGAATTCCCTCACCCATAGGGGCTATTTATACTATTAGACTCCTTAAGGGCTTCACCCTAAACCCTAATTGGATAATCTTCTCTTAAGGCTATCCAAATCCATTCCATAGATAACCATATGGACGATTTGAGCTATCCTAAAGCTCTTAGAATTCGTCCAAGGTCCATCCTAATGGATTTACAGTCTAAAGTCTAACTATCAAACAATTGACAGTTTACACCCTCTTATTTAATTAATCTCTTTAAGTCACCAAATTAATACCAATTAATTTATGACTTATATTAATCAAATAGCTAAATATTATTCCTTATAATATTTACTCTCTCTTAATAAATCATCCTTCAAGTTGCTATGGTGAAGGCAACCCAAAAGGACCATGCACCACCGAATATAGTTATAGCCTTAGACACTATTCCAACAGTCTCCCACTTGGATAAGTCTAATAACTATACAAGTACAATACGGTTTGCAATCGTAGCTCTCAAAGACGCTGTCAACTCTGATCTAATCAATCTTGTCCTTTAGATAAGGGATCGTACAGTCCTCTGTTAGATATCATGCTGACAATCCTATGGAATGGTTAGTCTAGCATTTAGATTTCTCGATCTCCGATTTATTTGACATAGAACTTAATCGAACACATCAATTCAGTTCTGACCGGGCCCGACACATAAGTCAAATCAAATCATCGAGTGGCCAAGATATCTCTTCTATCCTCTTAGGATAAAATTTACAGATAAACTTCGACTTATATGCATTTACTTATTCATTAACCAACTATACACAACAATGCGTTTTATAACATCAAGTTACTGATGCGTTTTCGCATTATCAATGCACAATCAATTAACAAATAATAAACCATATATCATAAGTTTAAGATGCAATTTCCATAAGGTGATTCCAGCAAGCGCGGGTTTATTCCAATGCTCAAAACCAGTTCATAAGCACTCATGAACGTTGCAGCAACCCTTGCTATGTCTAACACCATTTAGACATCTACACACCAATTCATGACAATCTTCATTCATATCTACTCCCAACATATGAACGATTGTGGACCATTTGAATAATTCGATTATTCCTAATAAACTCAATTATTCTGGAAGTCAAAACATGCAAAGTGAAACAATAGTTAAACAACTAACATGTGATAGTAACTTTACTCATAAATAAAACTCTTTATTTAATCATCAAATGTTAATTACATTTATCTATTATACGTTTCTAATACTATCTAATCTATGCTAATATCATCCTTCAGCCCAATACTCCTAGCATGCTGCAAGTGCTTAACCCTACTCAGTCCCTTCGTAAGCGGATCTGCTGGGTTATCTTCTGATGATATCCTCTTCACTACGAGTTGTCCTTCTTCTACACGATGTCTAATGAAGTGATATTTTCTGTCGATATGTCGAGATCTACCATGATCCCTCGGTTCCTTGGTCAAGGCAACCGCACCTTCGTTATCACAGAAAATCTCCATGGGCTCCTTTATGGCCGGCACAACTCCAAGATCACCGATGAAGTTCTTCAGCCATATTGCCTCCTTCGACGCTTCGCTCGCTGCGATGTACTCTGATTCGCACGTTGAATCAGCTACGGTTTCTTGCTTGGAACTTTTCCATGTCACTGCTCCTCCATTTAGGGTAAAGACCCAGCCCGACTGCGAACGGTAGTTGTCCCTGTCGGTTGAAAGCTGGCGTCACTATACCCTCGCACCTTCAAGTCATCACTCCCTCCAAGGACTAAGAACCATTCTTTCGTCCTCCGAAGGTACTTAAGGATGTTCTTCACCGCAATCCAATGTGCTTTGCCAGGGTTCCCTTGATATCTGCTAACCATGCTCAAAGCGAAGGCTACATCAGGGCGAGTACAAGTCATAGCGTACATGATTGAGCCAACTGCGGAAGCGTATGGTACTCGGCTCATTTCTGCTATCT